TCGGGAAGGAAAATAAAGGCTGGAGTTGAAGGATCCTCGCTGAGGAGGAAAGTCTGTGCTGGGATGTTCACTTCAGAGCAACAGATGGGTGATGCCTAGTTCGCCATAACTGTGCTATGCTGAACATGGTGCTCATCGGTATAGTGCATCTCTCTAATAAACAGGTGTGCCCTACTCCCTGGATTAATTTTTCTTGGCTTGCCCCCCCCCCCTACACAGCCTTCTCTCTGGGAGGTGTGTGAATTTGTGAATGGTGGTGGGCAGCTACCTCTGTAATACAGTGGGACAGCTTTGAGGACAGGCGGTGACAATACGGGGTAGGGACTGAAGGGGTGTACTGTTGTATCGTGCTGCCAGTGGTGCAACAAGTGCTCCTCATGCTTGTGGCACAAAGCTGTTACCTGCTGTTGTAGGTAGGGTGGTCCAGCTTTTTATGTCAGTGAAGAAGTTAGTGTTACGATATGTGAAGCTGACAAACTTATGTCTAGGTTTGAAAATACACTTTCAAATTCTCCGGTGCTATTTTTTCCTAGATGTAATGACATAATTGCCAGTTACTGTATAGGAAGCAACAATGAAGCAAACAGGAACACAAGCAGCTGTGAAAGAAAAGTGAAGGTCTAGCTCCCCTGTTTCAAGTTGTTGGTTTTTTTTCCTTTCTTCCCCATTTTCCCCTCAGTGTTCCCACCTGACTTCAGCCACTATATTCATTTGACCACACGGTGGGCACTGGTGTTACTTTATATACTCAGTGGAATTACGCAGATTATATATGCACTTCTTTGTATGTTTGTGTGAACGGTTTGTGGCACAAAATACAAAGTTTTGGCTGGGAACGGGGGGCTCACTGTGTGCCATATACACAGCAGTATACGCACAACCTTTGCGTAAGCAGCATCTGTCTGTGCTGCAGGTAGCTCAAGCTACTCAACTGCTGCTGTGGCTTCAGCTGCAAGTAGTTGTGCCAAGCAGCAGTAAGTTACTGCAGACACTTAAGAAAATCTATGCAATTCATTAATGCAGTGAATGCTAGAAGCAGTTAATTTTTTTTTTTTTTTTAATCTTTACATACAAGATAAATAGAGGCCAGTGACTGACTCTTCTGGCACATGAACCGGGGGGCATCAAATGAAATTGGCAGGTTCAGAACAAATGAGAGAAATGTCTTCACAGAATTGTAGCTAAGCTGTGGAACTCCTTGGCAAGAGTGCTGTGTGGACTGAGGGGTTTTAAAGTGATTAGATGAATTCACAGAAGAGAAATCACTTAAGGGCTATCTAACGCAGTGCATCTCTGGATCTGGAAATCCCAAACCTGCAAATGGCTTGTGCCTGGAAGAGCATCCTGAGGCAGAACTGCTGTGTTGTGTGTCCTGGTTTTGTGTGTCTCTCCAGGTATCTGCTCTTGGCTCCTGTCAGAGATAGGGTATCTAGTCGGACCTGATGTGGCAGTCCCTGCTGCGTTAAAACTCCCCCGAGATAGTCCATAAACGATCAGTCTCTGTTGTGTCAGCATGCAGTTTTCATATTTATAAAGGGCTTGTCTGTGCAAGGAAGAAATTTTGGAGAAATGTAAAACGTGAATTTTAAGTAGTTTGCTGTGCAGAGGTTTTGTAAAATAAGAATTATTTTAAAATTAAGCTAAAAAGTTTTTTTTTCTGGTTTCTGTTGTATAGGAAGCCATGCAAATAATTTGCTTTAGTCAGTTTTCTGTAAAAACAAATAATCCTAATTAACTTTGTTCTGATTATTTGTTGTCATATTTAATTTGCTAGAGTTTTGCTGTTTTGTTACATCTTTTAGGGGCTTTTTCTGCCTATTTCTTTTGCCCTAGAAAGCCAAGTTCAGACTATAAGAAAAATGGTTGGTGTAGCTTTAACCACTATTTAATACATGTTTGTATAACCTAAAAAACTCTGCCTTTATAATCTGTTCCTTTTAGCCCCACCGATATCAATGCAAGTTTTTCATTAGCTTCAGTGAGTGTTGGATCGGGCTGGAGATATTAACTTAAAGTAATTTAATGGATTTTTTTTTTTTTTTTTTTTTTTTTTTTTTTCAGTCCCCCACCCATTTTAGCTTTCTGCTTCCTTCCTTTTACAGAGGTGGAGTTTCAGGACTAGACATTCCAGTTTGCCAGAGACGTGTTGCTACTGAGGCCTGTAGCTATGAGGGACACCCGTCAGTCCACTCATTATGTTAATTGCAGCTCACTTAGAGGTTATTTGGTTGAGGCTAGCAATAGACAGTCAAGCTGGTCATAAAGGTTGTGCATAGCAGGAGAGCTCTGAAATCAAAGACAAATGCTCTTTGCTGCTCCGAGGGGATTTTCTACCTAATTCGGGACTGACTGGCGAGCGGCTGCTTATGGAGGGAGTGCCGCAGATCAGAAGTGGGCCCCGTCAATAGAGAGACAGTGATCCTTCGTGGCCATTAGCCAAGGAGCTGGGAATTTTGGTGACTATGCCCCGATTTATTAAACAGCTACTACTTTAGGGCTTTTTTCCCCCTTTTCCTGATGTCCTTAAGTAAATACTCCTTCAGTAGTATGAAGGAGCACTTACTGACCCATTTATAAACCATAGCCATTTACATGTCTCAATACACTAACTTGTGGGTAGGGATTGGAAATGAACTATCTATCTCCGTTGCTGTGAGAGGCAGATGCTTTGAGCAGCAGTAATGCAGATTTTGATTTATGAAGTTCTCTAATCAATCAATAGAAGACTGACTGAGGCAACCAGATAATCTGAATAATTAAATGGCTTTTCAGGGACAAATTAAAATTTCTAAACACATACCACATCTGTCTAAATTATATTTGGTGTCCAGGAACAAATGGGTTTGTTGTTCTGTTTCACTCTTGTATCACAAATGCTTTTGGCTTATTTCTAGACCATTTGGAAAAAAAAAAAAATGAAATGATGGTTTCTGCTCTTCTATATTGGAAACAGTACTCACAAAAAGAAAATGCTTGTTTCCATAGAGTATTTCTTTAAACTTAAATATATTACACTGTCTTACTTTTTGCCCTCATCAGAGATGTTTCCACAGTATTTTTAAATACAGAGAAAATTATTTTTATTATATAGATTTTTTTTCTGGTGGGTTTTTTTTGGTTTGTTTTTTTTTTTTTTTTTTTATTCCTTGTTTCTGGGGGGGATAGTCTGTACGTAGTTTCTACTTGGTAGAATGTATAGTTTGTCTCTAGAAAAAGAGGTAGTAGAATAATGCACGCTCTCGGTGCTCTCATCACACTTGATGATTCAAAGATAAGTACTTCTTATCTTTTTGTTCATTGTAATCTTAAAAATAAGGTTGGCGTTCTTTCCATGGCAGGTGCACGTTGCCCTCCACCTTTCTGTCGTCCTGATGGCCGTAGCTGCCTTGCAGCGGTTCCTTCTACCTTCTGCTCTTGACCTATACCTTCCATCTTCACATCCTTCTTTAACACTCATTGGGTATAGGTCAATTTTGATTTTCCTATTAGTCAGGTTTTATGTCTGGTTTTTTTTTTGGTTTGTTTTTTTTTTTTTTTTTTTACTCCATGCTTTCAGGTGTGATAGCCTGCTTTACTTCTGCATGAAGTGAGTAAAGAGTGGGAATTACTGGATTTTCTCATACTGCTTTTCACTTGCTTAAGGAGTCACTATAGAGCAGGTTTCCCAACTGAGGGAGGCAAGAGTCTGAAGAGTCAGAAGGAGCAAATCTCTTTCTTTTGTCTGCTACATCAGAGTGTAGTGAAAGAAGCTGGGAGTGAGAGGTACAAGGAACAGAGTTTCCTTAGGCTAAATGGAAGTAAAATAATTCATAGGTGCTCCTGCTCCCAATTCCTCCCTGGTTCCTCAAGGTGTGTTTCCATAGTCAGTTCAAGTCCACCTCAGTCTGCACTGCAGCATAGGTGTGGCAGAGAGGTGATGCCTCATCCACCCTCAGCTTCCATGGCCTCTCCTTTTGCTCTTTGCCCCCAGTAGGGCTCATGTGGCCAGGTGGAGATCCAGGAACTGAATCTGGCTGAAAGCTGAGCTGAAATTAAAAAAAAAAAAGTGTTTGAGGATACAAGGGAGGGGTGGGAATGCATAGGCCAGGGGAAGAGTGGGACTCACAGCTTGAAGTAAAGGACCCTGGAACCAGATCTGTACAACAAGACCAAAAGCTAGTCTTGGAGTCTTCAGTTTTCACATGAAAAATGCTCCTCAGAACTATAGGCACTTGTAAATGAATATCATGTCCATCTCCTCCACCCTCAATTAGTCATCGCATAACCAAGCTATATGCATTTAGTCCTTTTCATCTTTCTTCTTGTCAAGCCCTTTAGCCTGTCCCCCTCACCTACTCATCCCACCAATCATTTTAATTAATCTCTGAATGTCTTTGAAACTACTAGTTTGTGGAATGGAGGAAAATGAGTAGGTTAGAGAGACAAGATTGTGAATGATGGAGGTGGGGCAAAGTTAGGAGACTTTGCAAGACCTGTTGGGTTACCTCTGGGGCAGGACAGTACACTGACTGTAAACACAGAGAAGGACTGCCGAAGTAAGGGATGAACCACTAAAAACATTTTCCATTTTCTTAAGAACGCTGTCTGAGCAATTCAAACCCAGGATGTTCATGTGCAGCAATATATGAATGAAATATTTGACACGATTGTCTCTAAAGTAGATAGGATGATCTCCTCTTTACCCAATAGCTAATTATACTAGATTTCTCACTATTATTTTTTTCCCATTCCCAGCTAGCTTTATAGAGGATTTCAGTGGTCACTGCAAGTGCTCTGAAATATGTTTTCAAATAAATAATCACCTATATATTTTTTTATTCAAACACCTGTCTGTATTGTATAATTTTCAATCAAAAAACCTGGCCAAATAGAAGTTAATTAATTGTCTAGAGATGAGTCTGAAAAAAACCCTGGGGTCTTGTTCCCCATGCTTTTTAGAGTGTCACAAATCTAAATGTCACACCATTAATGTCTCTATGTTCATTATTTCTATACCGTAGCATAGCTGGTGCTCCGAGAAATAGAGAATTGGGCAAAGTTCCTGTCCTGTGGAGCTTACAGTTGGAAAAATCCTCTACATGCAAACCAGGCTGGCAGAATAGCAGTTGATTCGCAGTGGGAGCCCGAAGAGTGAAGGTAAGCAGTAGAGGAGGCACTGGAGGACATGTGGCATATGGGAAACAGAAGGCTGCGCTCAGCATTGTGAGCTGGCAGCATGAAAAAATTTACCATACAGATAGAAGCGTACTAATGCTGAGTGGTGGGGAGACAGATGAACACCTTTGAAAAGATATTTACTGTGTTTGGGGACAAAGATCCTGCTGGAAGTGTGCATTTGTTCAGATATTACTGAGGCTCGGTTTCACTGTGGAGAACTGAAGTTAGCTTTCTGGCATTTCAATGTTTCAATAAGCATGTTTTAAAGTAAGTAGCGGCAACAATGCATTGATTTATGGTTGCCAGTTGTGACTGAAGGCTGCAAAATAACTGGTTTTAACCATTCAGAGCCCTTGGTAAAATATCTCTGTTTTGATTAAGAACGTCTCAGAATGGATACAAAATGCTGGGATTTTTAATTAATAAACAATCTGGCATCCTGTCAATGTTGACACCTCACTCTGTCTTAGCAGCTGTTGGAACAGTAGGCTTCTGGCAACCTGGGATAAAGCAGTGCTTGCAACAGGAGAAAGAAAGGAAGCGAGTCTGCGTGAGACCAAAAATGCCTAGTGTAAAGCGCCATGGAGCTTAGGGATTTCCAGTGAGCAATCAAGCTTTCCTTTTCTGTGCTGTGGATTCAGGCTTGGACATGGACAGTGAGTTTCTGTTACTGAATGTCACCAGTGGCTGGTGGTTGACAGATGTAAGGACACCTGTCTGAGTTCAAGTAATGTTTCTGACTGTAGCAGCAATAAACAGAGAAAGCATTGAACAGTGAAAGTAAGTCCTGCAGGTTGCTCCTTCCCAGGGATTATAGTGGCGGAGCCTGTGGGGAAGTTTACAGAGTGCCTGCTCATATAATTCAGATGGAAACATTCACTCTGGATGACAGTCATTTGTGTTGGAGTCATGGTGTGGGAGCAGTTAGGGTTGCCAAATAGCCAAGGAAGGCATTGTAGGAGGGAAAGGGCACGGCCTGGGTAGGGCACTACCTGAAAGCACAGGCAGAGTTGAAGACTTCAGTTTGGGAGAAGATGCTACTAAACTGCTACTCTTCCTCAGTCCCATCTGATTAATAATAATAAACAACCTAATCTCTGATCACAGCTGACACAGCAATTGTGTAGCTGCTCCCCACTGGTCTGGGCAGCCCTGTCCCCTCACAGGATGGGAATGTCCTGGTCTTGTCCACAGCAGTTCCTTAGAACTTCCACAGGAAAAGAACCAGGATACTCAAAACCTTCCAAGTTGCTGTTCTTTCCTCTTTTCTTCGGTAAAAATTCTATGCAGTTGCCAACGCTTGTTTCAGAAGGAAGCAGAGATGGAAAATTTAGTCCAGAATCAGTATTGATTCCTACCTGAGAGCTTGTTATTTACAGTGGGTTCAGGAGCACTGTTCACATGTCTGCTAGAGGAAGTACTGCATGAACAGCCGACAGTGCATTTGGCAGACACGTTGGTCAGCTTACAGGACTGTTTACACAGTCTGTTGAGAACATATGAAACATATAAAAAGCCATAACATTTGAATATATTAGAAACAAGTTCATGAGATCAAGGAAAATCTTTAGGATAAAAGGACAATAATAAAGCAAAGGCCTAAGGGCTGCAATGGCTGCTAATTGAAATTCAGATTTTTTTTTTAATTTTTTTTTTTTTTTTTAGGGAGCACAACTAGGAAGACATTTCAAAAGTGGCTGTATGGTATTTAGAGATCTGGGTACCAGCTGCAGTGTGCGAATATTTGCAGAGGCTTCTGTTCAGCTAAGAATGGGCTATGGACTCAGGTAAGTCCTGTGAGAGAGGTTAAGCAGGCGTGTTGTAAGAGCTAATGGTGCAAAGTAGCCTTGTTCTATATAAGCATGTTTTGTGCTGATGTTTTCCAGTTATTGCGTTCCTTACAGTCAGTATAGGAAAAGGTGTGTGGCTGGCAAATCTGCAAGCCCAGACAAAGCAGTTCTGGGTGTGGATGCTTACAGTGTATTGCCAGGTGCTTCAAATAGGCATTTATGTCAAAGATCTGAGGTCAATTCAATGATAGCCAATTTCAGCCCTAGATGATTACATAAATATTAATAAGAACAGAGGTGTATTTTACATTTACGTTATTGGTCTGCAAAGTATTTACCTAACCCTGTAGCAGCAATGGTGGGGAATATATATCCCTTCAAGACAACCAAGAGAATTTACAAAGTGAAGCAAAAATCTGTTCACCTCTTTAATGTAACCTCATGAGTTTAATGAGAAGTAATCTTATTTTATCTATACCAGTAGGGAAAAACAGGAGAGCAGAATAAACTCAAATGGAGTAGAACTTCAGTCTTCCCCGGTTTTTGCCTCCCTACTGAATGACCCTTAATCACTTTTTGCATGTCTGTGGCTTGGTTTTCCTGCCTGTAAAATGGGCATAACGAGACTGAAGTTCTAGTAGACCATGCAGATCTATGGGGAATAAATGCTGTACAAGTGGTATGAACTGTTTTTCTTTTAAAAAATGCATTAAGGAAAAAGGTACAGAAAAGGAATGGAATTTCATCTGTAAGAAGATCTAGGATTAACTTATTAGTATGAAATGTTTGTTACTGGCCCCATTTGCTTTTAGGATATCAACCATTGGCATTTTTATTGGTTCATCAGCCTTGTAATGTGTTTGAATCTGACCCAGGACATGTAGAGCATATACTGGCACCTAGATTTATGCCACACTCTCTGGTCACTCTCTGACCTTTTGACCAGATATCTTCCATTTGCTATGGGTCTGCTTTTTTTGGAGGGTTTTTGGTTTGGTTTGTTTTTTTTGGTTTTTTTTTTCTTTCCATTTAGAGTCTCTGCTGTGAGAGGCTCTGACAATGATTTGGAGTTGTTAATGTCAAAAGTGCTGTGTAGGAGGAAGTATTACATGTCAGCTTCCCAGAAGGGAGAAGCTGAGGCACAGTGATCAGCACCTCTCCAGAATCACACAGATAGTTTCTTTGAAGAAAAAACCTTGATACTTAGTAGGAAGGTAATCCCATGAAACACAGGAACTTTTCTGCATTATACACCCCTTGGGAAAGTGGGTGAGTGCAGCAGCCACTCCCTCCTCGCAGGAGTGGGTATTGCTAGCCCTGGGGAGGTGAAGCTTACAGCCCCCTTGGACACTTCCACCCAATAAATCTGCACCCAAGCTTTCTTGCCTGTTTTTACGCATAAGTTAAGTTTTAAAATGCTATATGTATAGCAATCATTTTTAAGGAAAACTAAGGAGCGCTTTTTAGTAGATGTAAATCAGCACAATTTATGATGTCCTTAGTTCCCCAAGTGCTTTCGGCCAGCACTGCTGACAAAAGAGGCAGTCCTGCCCTCTTCCTGCTCCCACGCTGTCCCCTCCCTTGAGCTGACACAGCCATGAGGTGAAGTGTGTTGGGAAATACATCCCGTTCAAATCTATCCCAGCAAAAAACCTGAATGGCTGGGGAAAGAGGCATTTGCTGCTTTTCAGGGTGTCACCAGCATATCTCAGATTAAAGTCCTCATGGAACCACTGTGTTAGTGCAATTCACTGGTCTCTGAAAGCTGGGAGCTTCGCTCATTTGTCCCAACAGCTTCTGGCTGAAAGAGAATTGTGCTGCAGCTGGAAACTCAATCAAGCGAGTTTCAAAACTTTTCATTCATACGTGGTCCTCAGTTGATTCTTAATACACCTTTACTATAGCTGGTAGTGCTTCATAAGCCTGTCAACGTTGCAGTTGAACAAAGGCTTGTCTCAAGACTTTGTGTTGTGTAAATAAACCTTGTGCCTAGCAGGGTGTCACTGAGTTAATGTAAAGCCTGAAAAGGGGAGGGCGTGGGAGCAGCATGCCAGTGTTAACATTCTGTTTTCTGCGCAGGATTGCAACAGGATTGCAACAGCCCAGCCTATCTATCTGAGCTGCTGCACGTACCGTAAACATGTCTCTGCACTTGAATTTGATATGGGTGGTGATAGAACAATATACCTTTCTGGGAAATGGTAATGGACAGCAAGATTTTGTTTTAAGGAAATTCTGAATAAACAATAGCAGTTTTCTTCTTAGAGTGCTGATGCTTTCCAGGTGGCCCACCAGACAGCCAAACAAAGGAAATATGTATGGCAGCATTCACTCAAGGGTTAAAGTTTGAGGGTAAAGAGGGAGAATGTTGAAAATCCCATGAACTTTACTAGTTATGCTTATATCTTTGTGGTAGCTCAGACTTTCTTTTTTCTCTCTCTTTCTCACAAATCAGTAATCAGGGGACAATTGACAGGAATAACCCCCCTGGTAAAAATATACAACTGTTTTTGAAACAAACAGCATTTCATATGCAAAGCTGTCTGGTAAAGTGCATGCCCAGGGTGCTTTTTCAGGCCTCATGGGAAGTTTTACAAAGAGCAAGCTACCTTTTAGCAAGCGCTTTTCTGTTAGTTTCAAAATCCTCTGTTGCTTTTTTCTAGAATGATTTTCCCACAGAAGGTGATACAAACCATGAGAAGAGTCTCAGTAGAGTTTACCGTTCCCCCTACCCCCTTCGCTCCCTCCCTCCTCCCCCAAACACTGGGAGCTCTCAAAAATATTTTAGTATCCTAGAGATTGAAAACAGCGTCTTTAATTTGTATTTGTCTTGTAATAGCTCTGACTTTCACCGCCTTGTCCTCCCCTTTATTGGGAGTACATGTGTGAGCACTCCCTCTAATGTTGTTTATACGCTTGCTGTCAGGTTCAATAAGTAGTTTCTTAGCAGGGCACCTTCCCACATGAAGGAAATGTTTCCAGTTCTTGTCTTAGCTCCCGCTTCCTCCATGTGCAGTGTCTTGACAAGGCATGGCAGAGAACAACAGAAATGAGTGTCAGCGGTATCAGTAAGTCTTAGCTAGTAAATGGAAATTAGCTCTAGAACCTCATGAATCTACTACCAGTTTAGAAGTAGGGCAGCTTTTTACAGGGCATTTTATAGGTGTTCCAGTTATGCAAGTTTTGTGTAGTGCCTATTTTGTTTAGGCATTTAATTAATAGTGGATCTGGAAAATTTTAGATTTGTAGTACACCAAGAGTATACTACACACTGAAAAGAATGTGGTAATCTGTTTAAGGATTCTCTACGTAAATAGGGATATTGCTAAAGAGAATCAAGATAAAATGTAAATGTGAATAATTGCTCCTAAGACAAAGAAAAATTGGCAAGCAGCCATACAGAAATTAGAAAATTGACCGGTTTTATGCCATAGGTACTAAATCATACTGGTGGAGTCTCGGGTCTAGTCAAGTGAATGGCAAACCCACAGCTAACTTGTAGGATCAAGGATTTCCCCTTCATGAATGGGTATAGATAAGTAAAATTTCCCAGAGCAGAAAAACATGTTACAGAAGTGGCCAGATTTTCAGCTTTAAAGTAGAAGAGATACTTTCATTTTCAGTATCTCCATTAGAGCTTCTTTTTGCAAGACCAGGAGTGTTAACTCCTGTGTCTGAGCCAAAATTCCAACCTAAGCAGAATGTACTCATCTAAATTTCCCTTTTGGTTTCATTTGGACAAGGTATTCTTTGGTGTAGAGTTGCTGCGTACTGTTACAGCAGTTGCTGTGTTGGGAGCTTGGGAAGGTGCCCGCGTGGAAGAGGTTACATAAAAACTAGACCATTATAAGCTCAGAGAAACCCCTGAGTGTGATGATTAAAAAGAGAAAACAATTAGGGAAAACACATCAAAGAGTCTCAGTGAGAGTCCTAAAAGGAAAAATACTGATTATATTTGTTTTGATTTTGTCTTACATGAAGTAAAAGATGTGTGGTGTGTCCTGGGTCGACACCCTAAGGGGTGTGTACTTAAAGACAACAGAATCAGACTCCAAGACTTCGATGTGGTTTATTTTGGTTGCAGGGCTGGGTAGATAAGATATAATTGTACCATATGCGTAGTGGTGCTATCAATCTGAAAGTATATACTTCCCATACACCCCTCACCACCTTGCCTACCCTCTGCCTGCCAATCTGTATCTAGCAGGATAACTCCTAGCTTTTTGACCTTTCAAGAAACTTTCAACTATGATTTTTAAAACAGTCACAAAAATGTTTTTCTTTCTCCAAACGTGCAATTCTTCTCTCTGATGAAAGCAGTCAGAGATGTGAGATGGGTAACATTGATTTCTAAAGCTGGTGCACAAGTTCAGGTTCAATAAGTTGTGAATCTTAGGCGCTAAAAATTGTTTAGAATTCCATTCTGGGTCTGGGAGTAAGAGTAGACAATAATTGATAGTCCTGTTGTTCACACTCCACCAGATTCTAATACTGTTGTTTTAGAACAATGTTAGATTCATGTTTAAAAATTTGTTAGACTTGATCTGCCCTGGGAACCATGTTTGGAGAGGTTTGAACTAATAAAATATGCAAAATGTGGTTTTAGGGCTCTCCTTTAATGTGGAAAGGGGAAGAAAGGTTTTAGTTGGTTATAGCAAATCCAGTAAAGGAACTGTTTACTTAATGTTCTCCTAGTTTGTTTTTTTTTAATGTGCCTTTTCAGAGCTTTTCAGCTGGGTTTAGTTCATGTGAACTAGCATATTAAATAATGTTTTCTACTGATGTGTGTTTTTCAGTTGTTACTCTGACTTTAGTAGTTAAGTTGTTTTCTTTCTGGCACACTGGTATAGTAGATCCCAAAAAGCTGAAGGAAAATAACTGAACAGGACTTTGGAAATGCAGGAATATAAAGTATAATCCCTATAGACTTAGAATTTACGTAGGAAGATTGCATCTGAGTTTATTTTACCATGAATATATCTAGCATATATAAATTGAGGTGGCATTAAGAATGTTACAGATTCTTGTTTGATATGGCTTGTATACATTGTGTGACATTTTTACTTGGGTGATGCAGCCATCCTAAGAAAACGGAAGGCAACAAAGCGTTTATACTGTCCTACTGAGAATGTTGTCTGTCTTCCCAATTACACGTAGTACTTGTGTGTAACATAAAAACACATCTGAGAGGTGCAAGTATCCAAAAATGGCAGAAAAAGTGCCACTTTGAATGTCAGGAGTTCCGGTGCTTCCCTGGCTGCCCCACGTTGATGATCATTTTAGGACTTGTTTTCATGTTGGAAAAGACACTGGTAATATTGTGTGTTATTTTCCCACATCAACAAAAATGATCATAAAAAATGCAAGGTATAGGGACATACTCTATGTCGGTTAGGTGATACATTGACTTTGCTGGTTACGCATATTTGGCTTCGGCCTTTTCAGAGCCTTCCCAAGTTCGGGCCCAAGCTTCTGAAGAAATTGTCTTGTTTATACACAAAAGTATGAAGTACAAAGGTTGCTTGGAACAAAATGTTGTAGGTGAAAGATCCTTGCATTTTCTTATATCCTTTTGCCATCTTGATTTGGTGACATGCTGTAAAACCCACCTGTTCTCCTGGCTCATTTGGGACTCTGGAGAGCAGTAGATGAATGAGCCAAACATGAGAAACAGAATGGACAATGGGTGTAGACAGCAACACTTCCCTTTGGACCTTAAAGGCTAAGAGAATTTTATCAATGTCTGGGATGTCCTGCTGTTGTGCATTAGGTAGGTTGACTTTTAGTTCAGATCAGGAGTCTAATCTTTTTTCCCTTCTTAAATGAAATATGAAAAAGTCACTCTCTATATTGACTGTGGACCTAGATTAATTTAGTTTTGATCTGATCCTCACAAAGCATCAGGTCTGTTTGCAAAGCTAATAGAAGTGTAATAGCAAGAGCAGCAGTGGCAAATACCTTTTTTTCTTTTATTTTATTTCTCCTTAATATCAAAGCTAAAAATGTGGTCTTGATTTATATACAGGATTACTGATTCATATACTGTTAAAGCTATATAATAATACATCTAAAGCCTAGCACAGTTTATAAATACACAAAACATACGTAACTTAATAGTTATTTGTTCTGAATCTTTTTTCCCCTGCATACACTGTCCTACCTTTGTTATTCAGGGCACTAATGCTGCGTTAATGTAAGCAGCAAACAGCTGCATTTATCTTAATTTTATTCTTCTAAGTCACAGCAACATGCTGGAATGAAAGCCATTGTCTGTAGCAAACCTTCCTAAGTCTTTTAGGGGCATCCATCTGGATAGACTTTGTGGTTATAGAAGGGCTGATGCTGTAAGTATTCATTCCACTAATGGTCTGATTGATTTTTATTTACACTCTTTGCAGGTTGCACAGAGTCTCAGTTTGAGTAAGAATTGCAGAATATATGCTGAATTCAAGAATTACAGGCATATGTTAAACTAAAACAAGGTTTCTGTATCTGTCTTTAGGATGCTTAATCAAACGGTGGCTCTGAATTAGACTTAAGTCTCCAGCGCAGCAGATGAGAATTGCAGTTGGTAAGCCCTGTTAAAAACCAGGTGCATAATTTTGAAAATGTTGATCCAAATCACGTTATTATAAGTAGTAGGGAAATGTCATGACTTACTGAGATTAAACAAAGACCTGCTTAGAATCTTGTGACTTCAGCCCATAAATGGATTTCATCACTCATTACAGCTGCATAAACAAATGCATGTGTTATATATGCATGAGGTTTGGTTTTTTTTTTTTTTGAAAGTTGTTTTTAAAATCCCCTCAGAGTTTTTTTAATTGCTCCTAATGAGCATTCCCTAGTTCTGGAGCAATGCCTCGTGTACCTGAGCAGCATAGCAGTCATTGCTTTTAAGGGAATAGTTTGCCTGCTTTTCTCCCTTTCTGGCAGCTGGACTGCTTTGGCAAGCAAGTTATTTTAGAGGAGAAATTTACAATATGAAACCTGTTGTCAAAACTTTTATTCCTTTTATGAAAGTAGTCTTACCCTAGTGCTCCTTTGGAGCTATAGAAATGTAATCCCAGCCCAATCAACAATTGGAGAAAGTCCTGCCAGCTCATACAGAATAAGTTTGTCATGTATCTAGATATTTTTTAGTTGTTTAATGTAATTTTTCATATTGTCTGTGGCTTTGTTTCTCCTGATGGGCCTCTCCTAAGGAATCCTAGAAACGGATGCCCTGTGATTATCCATGGATAATTAGTACTTCCCCCATGTTCTCTTGCCAATATGTTGCAAGTGGGATGCAGCAAGATTAATTAAAGTTTTGGTCTTCCTGCTGCGATTATTACCTGAAAGCACTAATGGTGGCAGTAGTTTGTGATGTAGAGCAGACATTTGTCTGTGAATTTAAAAGGTAGTAGAGATCAAAACTATCAAGCTATTCCCCTACCTCTAGGTTAAAAGTTGCTGCTTTCAGTTAAACCTATATTATTCAGTATCTCAAGGCAGACAGTTATCAAAGTGTAACCTCAAGAAACTAAGATGGCAAAATGTATGGGTAATTCTTTGAATTTCAATATGCCATTTCATATTCAGAACTGGGATGCTGTATTATTCCTGGATGGGTAGTGTCTCATTTTAATGCTACACTGTAAATTATTTTTTTAACCATGTCTAAAGGATTTTTATTTTCTCCAAAGAAAAATATTCAAGGACACTCCATTTTTTTTTTTTTTTTGCCATTTTCTGAGTAAGCCTCCTCTTTTTACTTCTAAAAACTAAAGTCAGGAATGTAAAAAGAGTTAACAGTATGGGACCGTTCATGGTCAGGGGTGCTTACACATGTCTTATATGGATGGATTTGGCCTGAAGTGGTTTAGTTTGTTTTGCTCCCTAGAAAAATAAAACAGGTAATAAAAAGAAAAGTAACTTAAACTGAATGAGACTAAAATACTTTTGCTTTTCTGTCAAGCAACCTTAATTTTTAGGCAACTGGGGAGAAGTCTTAATCATGTGTGTTCCTAAAGCTTCCTTCAACAAATTGCTGAGTGTCTGAGGCTTTTGAGTGTCCTACCCCTTCTGTTAAAGTCTTCAGAAAATCCAGTCGCTCATCACCTCTGAAAACCTGCCCTCTTATGTAGGTAGCTAAAAAGATGCCTGACATTAGAGATTTGCGCTCCAAAATGTTGCCTTTAATGCCTTAAAATGTCACGTTAAAATCAAGTACAGTTCACCCACAAACCATCTGGCTTTACAGATCTGAAAACAATCTTTCCATTAATTAAGCTTTTCTGCTTCCTAATAAGGCCTATTTGAAATGCTTGGAGGCTGAAGACACCAGGGCTGTAGGTCTGTACCGAGCAGGAGTGTGGCCATGGCCGAGGGTCCCCTCGGCTGGTGGCAGGCCACACCTGGCTGGGGAGCCCTGCCTCACCTTAGCTCGCTTCGCTGGCTGTGCAGCTGCTAGTACCAGGCTGGGGAAATACCTGGCTTTCTCCTTATAAGGCCAGCGAACTGCTGCGGGAGCCCTGTTCCTGCCCCGGCGCTTCCCGGCTCTGCTCAGCCACAGTCCTAAAAAGGCAGTTCCTTGCTCCTGCTTCCCACAGCTGAGCTCCCCAGGGAGCACAGCCCTCTCAAGTCAGGCATTTTATTTACAGGGAGAGCCGTACTTATGGATTTTGCTGTTGCTTCTCAAGGAAGCCGTTGTGTTTATGAGCACTGCTGGGGTTATCCTCTTGTTTAGTGAATAAGCAGTGAATAATGAAAAGTATAATAGAGTGCAGTGTCTGAGCCTGCAATCCTGTCTGCGCGGGCACATTTCTGTAACAGTATAGATCCCTGAAGGGTCCCGCATAGGGAAGGAGGTGCACTGTGTGAAGCAGGTCAGAGCTGTAGTCTTGAAAGCGTATTAGGTTATGGTTTTATAATAGAAGGTACGCAGCAGCAATACGAGCTCAAAGCAATTCACGTCCTCTTCCCTCCCTCCCCTGGCTGCCATTCCTGCGCTGCCTCTTTGCTTGTGCTCGCTCAGTTCTTTGTGGGGGCCATGCTGTGTTCTTGGTTTGATGTGTTCTGAAAGCCAGAAAAGAGTTTTCTGCTCAGATTTACAGTGTGGCTTCACAAAAAGTTGTGCTACTGTGACTGAGTGGTGGATAGGAAAGGGGAAAAAACCCTTAGTTATTAATGCCCCATGCTCTTCCTAACGTGAAACCGAAGCTGCTGTACTCTCCTCCTGAATAAAACCTCTTCAAGTGCTGAATATTTTATCAGAGATTTTTACAGGTTTAATTGAAAATTTCTGAAGGATCTGATTATTGGCTTATTTATTTCACATGCCAAGTTACAAGCTTAGTTACAGTCTGATAGATTTTTAAGGACAAGTTCTTTACTGGAGCCAGATTTTGGAAAGGCTTGAATATGCTAATTCAGAAGGGGTTTTACGTGGGATTTTTTCTTTTTATTAAATCAACAAATCATCCTAGCTTAGTTTGAAAAAACAGAGGAGCGTTTTTCAGATTTAAGATCTGTGAAATTCTGGCATGTGCAGTGTACCAAGTGGTCACATACTCCTTTCAGAAAGGGGCTTAAAATAATTCTTTTTCAAGGGGCTATTTGGGAACAGTCCATGGATAGTGTGCTCTTTCGAGCGTGCGAGACGTTGGGGTGCAGCTCGCAGAGTTTGAACATATTGTACTCGGGCACAGCAGTTTGTCTCTTCAGAGCCACATACTTCCTTAGTTTATCAGACTGCTCCTGGCAATTCTGTTCAACCTTTGGACTTTAGGGCCTCTCTCAGGATGTAGCATTGGTTCCCTAATATCTCTCCTCTTGTCTTTTGCCAAGTTTCCAGCAGGCAATGAGGCCGTGACAAGCAGGGTCACAGGTGTTGAAGGAAGTCAGCAGCACAAACAATTATTATTACAAAACCGGATTCCACGGTTACAAGGATGAAATACTGCTTTTCTTTATGAATCTGTCATACCACCCCCATCTTCTGTTTTTCTGAGATTATAAGGTGTTTTCGAGCTGATTTTCTTTTTGTACTAGTGCTAGGTGTGTGCCTGTGGATTTAGTAGCTGAGGTTAACAGTACTGATGGTATAGATTAAAAAAAAAAAAAGAAAAAGAATGCCATGCACTCATTTAATGCACATTGTTAGCTGAGATCTGTTGTGTATTTTCTAATGTTTTTATACTGCTGGTTCCTTAAATATGTCTGTCATGTAAAACATGTTAAAACATGTTTTCACATGTTTGAATGGTAGTAAAGGAGATATTTAGGAAGAAACAGAGATCAGACAATAAGGAAGAGGGTGATTAGAGAGAAACATTGGTCGGGCAATAAGGAAGAGGGTGATAGGAGCTCTGGTACAATGAGGCAAGAGATGGCATGTCTGACCAATAGCTATGGAATTTGATAATTTAGGAGGAAAAACCATTTACAGCTATAGGTTTTGGACACTAAATGTAGTAGAGGAACATTTAACAAAATCCTGGTTGGCAAAGGGATGCTCCTGCCTCTGCCAGGCAAGGTAGGGGGTAGTCAGAAAACGTTGTGTTGGAATATGGGAAATACCACTCACTAAAGAAATCCTTCCCCTTAGTATTTTTGGCTGGCTGCTGGTAGTGGTCCTAGCGTACACCATGTGTCACGTTTTGTGTCCCAGAGCTTTGGAGGATGTATGTTGTTGGGAAGACACACATGTGAAACAATAGTAGGAAGACTGCCAGAAGCACAGTAGTTATTCTGAATTCAGAAAGTGCTCACATGTAGTTTTTAAGAACTAGAAAGTTGAAAAGCAACTTTGCTGCAGAGTGTCCTGTCTTCCATACTGTGTCAATAAAGCAGACTAAACTATTAAGGTCTTTTGGAAATTTTAGAAAAATTTAGAATTTCTTTGACTGTTAGAAAAGTTCTCTATATACACAAAGTACTTGAATGCACCCGACCTACAGTCAATTTGAATTAACAACCCCCATCTCATGCTCAGTAGTGCCATTCTCAACCTGTGATTGTGTTGCTTTTCTTAGTCCAAAATGTAGCATCTCTGCATGGGGCTCTCACTAGTTCTTGTTTATGGACAAATTTGTAGCAGAGCTACTCAGTCAGCTTTAGTGATGTTAGTATTTTTTTATAGGCTATTCCAACTATGTTACTTTGTTTGAACACAGTTATAGTGAAATCAAGGACATGTTCTCTTTCCAGTATGTGAATTAAGTTGAATTGTAGAATCACATTTCAGAAAATACAAACCACCCTCTGTCCCTCAGAAGTTTTCACTGCTTTAAGCATACTGATAAAACAGTGAAAAGCTGTGAATGTTTTGAAGGTGAAATTTAGAAAACCTGGGGCCTTTTCAATCACAGAGGTGGTCTGAAGTCCCACTGTCTAATGGTAACCCTCATGTTAGCCCTGTGTGCAGTCTCAGCCCTTTGTTCATTCTCTAATCATCAATCTCCAGTTAATTCAGTGAGACTTGTTGTGGAAGAAGGTGACTAAAGGTATCTGAATTTGCCCTTTAACCATATGAGGAATTCAACTACAATTCTGATAACACGGGTTAGAGCATACTTTCAAACAAGC